TTGGATTGTTTTTTATCAGTGCATAGATCTAGATTCTACTACTTCTTCAGTTCTATGAAAATGTAAGGAGTTTTTTATAATTATAGATGTAATTTATATATATATATATGTATATTTATAAATATATTAATTAAGATAAAACTATGTTTAATTTGTATGAATACATTTTAGTAGCATATGTGTTATTATTCATTGAGTTATATACTTTATTTATAATAATTTAATTTTAAAATAGAGATTTTATGGAGCCGCAAAACAGCTTAGAAATTATATTAAATTACTTATTTATTTATTTTTTGAAAATGTAAAAATGCAGTTTTCTGTGATGTTCGTGTTTTAGGTGTACACGGTAGAATATGCTGTTACAGTACAAAAATCATTATGGCTATATTAATAAAAATTAAACAAAATCCTTACAGTAATCTTCTAAAAGATAAATAGAAGATACGAATGTATTAAAACTATAAAGAGTTCATTTCAACCATCTTTTCATTTTAAAATATTTAAACTTTTACGATTATGATTTGAAATAATCTTAGTATGAACAAAATTTTGGCTCTGGAAAGGTGTTAGCAGACTAACATTACACGATGCACAGAGACTCATCTGATCTGTCACCCTATATCCTGAAGCTAGTGGGGGCTGGCCTGAGGCATCACAGATTCTAAATGTCTTCATTGGTGCTCTCGCACTAAAGATAGGCTTATGTGGTGATTTTCGCACAGATACTACTTGAGGAATTATTGAACATTTCACACAATGTGTGAGATGACTTGTGAGAGCCCCAAATTTCAAAGTTCTTTACATGTACCCTGATAAATAAAAAATATAGTCAAGTTTTTCCACGATGTAGCATATTTGTTTTATGAATTAATTTAATTTAAAATATCTTGTATTTTTAAAAGATATAATTTAAACTTTTAATGATTATACTATGAAATAAGATTAACACTAATCGAACACATGCAATGTCTCGTTCTGACCGCTGAAAAGACACACACACACACACATAAGCGTGCCCCCGTGACTTAGAGGTTTTCAGGATTCAGAGAGGTCTAAAGTAATTTATTGCCGATGATATCACCCATTTCTTACACATACACACATAGACACACACACACACACACACACACACACACACACACACACACCACTCCGGTCAAGCGTGGGGGAGAGAGAATCACTGGGGGACAACTTTAAACTCATCTTTTACATCTTTTGTAAACCATTCATATTGTATGGACATCTTAGGAACTACTTCTTCAACTCGGTGAAAAAGTAAGATGGTTTTATTTTGTGAACCGTTAGCAACCTGTATGTTTTCTTCTAATCGATAAAACATGCCGGATGATTTTTATCTAAAATAATTGGATCAGTACATTTAGTTATTTATTTTACAATGAATGAGAAAAGCATTTTATTTATTTGTTTATCTAAAATAATTGGTTTGGTGTGAAATATTTGTAATTTCATTTATATCAATTGAAAGAACTGAATGGTTTCAACTCTAGCCAGTGTGAGATATTTTCTCACTGTCCCAGCAAGAGTGCAGGAATGGGATGGCGTCTCACTCACTCACTCACACACACACACACACACACACACACACACGCACATACATAGAAGACCAAAAGGTGCTGGTCAGCCACAGACTCGCTGTGAGAGAGAAAACAATCTGGGATCTTTAAATGATTCAACATCTTGGGACAGCCGGGAAAGTAAGATGGTTTTATTTTTTGTCACCCGTTAGCAACCTGTATGTTTTCTTCTAATCTATAAAACATGTCGGATGATTTTTATCTAAAATAATTGGATCAGCACATTTTAGTTATTTATTTTACAATGAACGATAAAAGCATTTCATTTATATACTTTTAAATGAGCAGTGTTGTTCAGCTCTAGTTAGTGTATGATATTTTCTCACTTTCACAGCCCCGCAAATTTATAGCCCCTGGTTCAGGAATGCGGAGGGTATCATGTAACACACACACACACACAGACGCAGATGCTTAGTGCGGTGACCATGGCTGTCATGAAAAAAGGCCGGTGAGAGAGAGAGAGTCACTCGGAGGAACATCTTTGGGGACCGTCTGATAAAGTAAGATGATTTTATTTATTGCACACCCCTTCAATGTTTTATTCTATAATACCTCCGGATCAAAGACAACTGTCATACCCCGGATCAAAGACAACTGTCAACTTGACGTATAATAGAAAGGTCAATAGGGCAAAGACAACTGTCAAAATAAATGATTATACACCCACATCAAAGACAACCGGCATACCCCGGATCAAAGACAACTGTCAACTTGATCGATCGATAGGTCAAAGGGTCATCCCTAGATCAAAGGGACCTCCGGGACACACTCCGGAAGGTCAAAGGTTAGCCCCGCCCACCTGTCAATCATAGGGTCATAAATCATCTTGACAGAAGCTGCCGGGTATATCTACTTGCATCCCTTAAAACTCATCTTTGATCGCCAAAATGACATAGGCTATTTAAACGTTTTTCCTGTGAAAAAAAAAGGCATGTCTTAGAAGTGACTTCTGTTAAATAAAATATCTTGCTAGGCATTGAACTTTGAGCTTTATAATTTTACAGGTATTATGTATGCTCTAACAGCAACATTACACACTAATTAAAGTTTGAAAAATGGAATCGCGAAGAACGGGACCTTTAAATCTTCAAAATATGTACGTTAGTAATACACTGATTTTTAGCAGACAGACACCGAATGCAGTAAGCTATGTAACTATTGCTTGACGTGCTACAATTTCTTTTACAATGTTACTTTTTCTGTAAAAGGTGTACTTGTGGTAAATGTGCAAAGATGCCCACAGAACGTGAGAACATATGCTGCAATTGACACCCAAGGTAAACTTGTAAAACTATGAACTATATAGGGACTGCAGCATCTTTGAGGAGTAGCTTCTTTGAAAAAACAGCATTGAACTGTGCCTGATTGACAAAGCAGTCACTTGTGAAATATGCAGAACAGACGGTTAAGATCAAACTAAATTGCTGTGGCGTTTCTGAATAAACATAAGCCACTGTTCTCTTCGGTTCTCTTACATTAATGTTGTTCGGAAGCCTGTGCAATGATGTAGTTTCCTGACGGTGGGCAGTGCACGGGGTTGTGTCTGAGTAGTTCTGACATCACATTTATACGGAAGTCACAACGGCTCATGAAAAGGCATCTTTATGCAGGCTGTGTGCATGTGGATTGACTGTTTTGAAACTTATATGGTAGTTTCATAGCCCCTAGACCTCTGTTATCATGAAAAAAGCCAGGAAATTTCAGTTTTGACAATATGGGACCTTTAAACGTGCTTTCAATGAAGGGTAGTAGGCTAAGCAACAGGGAAGTGGCTAAATTAACCAGTAGGTGGCCTCCAACTGTACACGAGCAGTTAAGGCATGGTGTAGACCACAGTTGAACCACTCATGAGGACAAAAGAGCACCAAAACAATGTATTACTTCTAGGGGAAAAGGAGACGAGGCGAGTGGAGGTGGAGAGGGCAATGCTGACTAGTTGTAATCTACAGGAGCAAAAGGGCAATGTAGTACTAAACATGGGGAAAATAAACCACTCAATGAGCTGATAGGAAGGCGGAGACACTACAACAAAACAAGATTGTGGCTGAACCGTGTAGTGGTATGTGGAGATTAGTAGACTGAAGAGAAAGTTGAAGAGCTGAAAGAAAGAGAGGAAAAGAGTCAGAGACGACGGCTTCCTTGTTTACCAACTCGTGCAATCCTGATAACCAGCAGGAGACAGAGAGAAGTGAAACACTGGGCTATCAGCCCACTGGTGCCTTATTCATCTTGTCTGAGAGGAACTTGCATTGTTTTCCACCTCGGAATCAGTTTTGTATTAATTACAACAGTGATTGCGCAAAATTGTCACATGTTTGTCATAGTTCAAGCTCCTTTTTGTTCTCCCTTGAGAATGTGCTAATCGAAGAGGAAAAAACATTCCTAAACGACATTTGTTGAAATAAACCGGAAGAAAACATGTATCCTCAGTGTTCAAAGAGATACCTCTATAGAAAGCAAGAGCAAAAGACAGGAGAACAAACATGCAGGGATTCATAGTTAAATTTTATCTGAAACTAAACTTTTAAACCATACAGTACTAGGAACTGTTAATAATATGTATACATGTTTAATATTATATTCTTTTAATAATAATTACAATCTTAATACAAGCATTGTAGAATGAAGAGACATCTTAAACTGCCATTTTCAAGGTGGACAGCAGCTTGATACCAAATTTATTAGATCACTCTAAAGCATGGTACAACAAAAGGAAGGAAATATAGGGAATGAATAACAAAAACAAATAACTGGCCATCTGATTGCAGCTGAAAATCATTTTGAGTGCCCAAAACAACTAGATTTACACATCAGCCGATGCTTAAGAGCTGAGGACAGCCGTGATCAACAGAAGCTGAAATTATTGCACAAGAAAGAACTAAACAGCCGTTCGGAAATACCAGTCGAGTCATTGGAGTTAAATATTATTTACTAATCATTGCAAATTCAGAAATGAGAGCAAAAAGAGGTTGCAATTGTCAAATTGTGGTCCTTTGTAAAATGAAAAGGATAAAAGAAATGCAAATAGGGCATTTCTCCAATAAATATTTAGGTAAAATTCAAAAGTACTGGAAAGGCTCCTTTGCGATCGTAATCAGCTCCACGGCTGGACTTTCAACAGTTCCTCTTGCTCTAGTGACGCGGTGTTAAAAAATTGTTTTGAGAGAAATAGACTAAAATGTTATCAAGTTACTGAGATCACTAAGAATCTTTCAGGAAAAGGATTTAAAGATGCATTGGCAGTTGATCCCTAACTTCCAGTTCTTTCTTCATTTCTCTGAATAAAAGTAAGCAAACACTATGCAAATTTGTCTTAACTCATAGAAGACATGATAGCATATGCTTTGATATTAACGTGGAACTGAAAGTTTTCCAAGCTTTCATTCTATATTCGTTATATAGCTAGTTATCAATTAACGTCATCACCATGATTGTTGCATGCTTTTTTTTTACACTGTCTAGCAATGCAATATATATCATAACAGTCCATGTTTAAAGGTTCCGAAAATACCTGCAAAAATTGATGCAAGAACTGAGAACATTTCTGATCAGTCTCATCAAAACAATGGTTTCCAGAGCTGGACGGAGACTTATCTCAATGTAGAATGAACTAAATTGCTAAATGAGGTTTCAGATTAAGTGTGACACTAAGAAATTATGTAAATTAAGGAGGGTTGCACTTAAAGTTCAGAGATGGATAAGGCATTCCAGGGGTACCTATTATGCAAAATGGGTGGAGCCATATTTGAATGTGGGTGTGGCAACCTAAAAGACAGCTTTTGTTCTTAGTGTTTGTCTGTGTATTTTTTTCACTCTCTGAAATAAGGCAAGAGCACTATTGAGAATCTATGCACAAATGCATACTAAAATGTATACACCATTTGGACACATTCAGTTTTGCCATTTCCTCTTTTATGTAGACATTGCTGCATTCTCTCTCTGACTACAGTGAGGGTAATCCAAGTGTAATCCTACAGTCATGCAATAGGCCGCAAGTTTTCATCCCTTCGTTAAATTCAAAATCACTCCTTGCATATGCAGCTTGAATAAGCAATCCCTTAGTTAATCCCAGTAAAAGCAGTGATTGCAACTGCCGGCTTTCTGTTTCTCTCTCCCCCAATATGCTGATGGCAAAATGTTATATAATCCAGAGCGTCACGCTAATCCTTGCCCGTTCAGTTCCAAACAGGTCAGAATCTTGTAATCTTTATTCCAGAGTCTCCAACAATCAAACGGGCTATGGAGGGATGCACCTGGGACAAAAGAATGTGCAATCAGAAAAGTGAAAAAAAAAAAATCAATTTTAAATGCTTAAATAGAACTTAGGCATCACAACATTGTTAAATCGTTACAATATATTGATTATGAGATTTGGTAGTGTTATTAAATTATCAGTCTTCAACATTGTTAATCAATGAAATATCAACATCAACTATATCTTTAATATCATTATCAGCTGATAACTAATGTGGTACTGATATATTGTGCATATACCAAACCCTATACTTCCACTTACCTGTGCCTGCAGTGGCCCATAGGGCACCAGCTCTCCATCTACAGTGAGGGTTCCTCGTGGTGAAAGCGGCTGAAGGCGGAATGCCCGAGCAGAAACATGACTGACGTAGGGAGAGCTTAGAGACATATGAGCTCCTCTCTCCATTGCTAGAAACAGTCTAAGCAGCGTTGCCCGGGAGATACCAGCCCGCACAAATGTCAGATGGATCAACCCATCATCAAATCGAGCCTGAGGCGCAGCGAGAAGATCTGCTCCCAAGTGGGACTGGTAGATGGCAAGCACTAAGACAAAATCACCCTCAATAGTGACCCAGTCACGTGTAGGGAGAGGCTGGTCCAGAGGAGGTAGCAGATCATCCTCTGGCAAGTTGATGGATGTCAAGTGATGACGGTTCTTCAAGGGTCCTGCGGGCTCTGCAAGGTCAAAGTTGAAGGAAGGGGTCGGTGAATGAAAAGAAGGCGATGGGGAAGACGAGCTGGGAGTGTTGGGACGCGGTGCGAGATAAGAAGAGTGGGGAGAGGCGCAAGATGGAGACGAAGGAGGGGTCGGCGAAAGGGACAGAGAAAGGGATGGAAATTTTGGAGGGAGAGAGTTTGAATGTGATTGGTGGAGAAGGGAGAGGGGCCGTGGTCGTGAGGGGTTCTGGTTCTGGTCCATAGTTTTAGCTTTAAAAGCTTTGAAAGGAGACTGGCGGAATGGAGAGGAGGAGATGGTGAGGGCTCGCTCGCGAGACTTGTCCAGAGGAAAGGCCTCTCTCTGAAAGTAGGTGCCATTTATGTCTTCGTCTTCCTTCCCATAAGCTGCCACCTCCAAGTCTTGGTCAGTGTCAGCACCAATTGGCTGGCTGAAGAAGGCATTAATAATCTGACTAGAGGGAAGCGAGTTTTTACGTAATGTGTGTTGGATGTCAGGTGGCGTCGTCTGATAACTTTCGTCACACTCATTTACCTCATCTCTCTCACTCAAATCTCTTGCTTTCATCACTCCTTGTCCATCTATATCATCCCCACCTGATTTATTATCTTCTTTTCCATTCCCATTATTTCTGGCTATGTTGTCACACTCTTCCCTTTCGGTTGATTCAGAGCTGGTCTCTGACGTCTCTTCCATCTTTTCTTCTGCTTCCACCTCTCTCTCTCTGTCTTCTGCGAGACTGCTTGCTCTCACTACCCCAACCCCTCTTGCCCTCTCTCTCCTCCTCTCCCTCTCCCTCTCCCTCTCCTGCCTCTCCAGTTCTCGTTCCCTCTCTCTTTCTCCATCTCCTTTACGGAGACTTCTTTGTTCACTCAGGCCCATGTCAGAGCAGGTGCGGTGGATGGGCGTGCGACAAAATCCCTCCAATCCTTCGGTAATGCTGCGTGAAAGCGGCCTTCGGGGCAGCTGAGGCATGGCATCGGGGGACGGGTTGACAATACCGGGGGGCAAATAGGAAAGACGACCCTTATAGGACCGCAGAGAAGCCAATCTCACCAGTGTTCCCAGTGTAAACCGTGCTGAGCCCAGCCCTCTGTAGCGCTCACTCTCTATGTCCACGTCAGACACAAAACCCCAGGCCACAGAAAGGAAAGAGAAAAGCCTCTTGGGTGCAGGTGGGTGCCCATTCTGATTGGATGTGGATGATGAAACACATGGGCTGGTTGTAACAGAGACCAAGTCCATCGGTTTAACCCCACCCCGGCACAGCAGAAAACAACAGTTGAGGAGGAGAGGCTCCCGAAGGCACATGTCATATCTGAGAGACAAACAAGAAAAGAAATAGAGTCAATCACATTTAGAACAAACAAAAAAAATCCTACATTTTCTTACTTAAAACATGGCTCAAAAAATTATTCAAATATGGAAGTGAATCAGCACAACAGAGATTTTTTCTGAGAGTGTAAAAGTAGGTACATTGCAACCAATACACCTACACAGAGCAAACAACTACTGAGAAAATGTATGAAACTCATCTTAGTAAAAGGAAAGAAGTTTTCTTTAACTGACACAAAGATTGTTTTCCTTTTAAGTAATAGCAAGCTTCAAGAGTAAGCAAAGACCCTTAATTTGTAGCAGCATGTAAAAAAAAATCACAAAGCATTTTGCAGGCTTGCAAACATGCCTGAAAAACAGGATTTAAAAGGATTCTCACAAATAAAACCTCTGTCATTACACACAGTTTTTTTTTGCGTACGAGGGCTCAACAGGAAAATAACAACATGTGTTTGGGATGTGGGTGAGTAGATGACAGAATTTAACATTTTTGGTCAAACAGTTCCTTAAAAAATAAGGGAGGCTCTCTGAAGAACTAGAGATTTTCACACAATGTGTCCCAGGTGAGCTCAAGTAGATTTCGTACCCTGCGTAGTGGTTTATGGAACCAGAAAGTGCATTTCCAGAGCCACAAGGCAGAATTCCCACTGGAGTTTTTATAGCTTGTTCCCAATCTGGCCTTTCCATAAGGCCATTTATCACCTGCAGAAAAAGGGAAACAGATTAATACTTAATAATCTTATTTTTACATACAAAGCCTGTGGTAGATCAGTCAGCTACTACAGAAATCAAACTTGTGTCATTCAGAATGTTCTACACATCCCCGGCCCCTTCATTTATTTAATATTTTGGTAAATGTTATCATGGTTTCAGCTACCAATAGAGTATTGTTCTCAACCATTTAATGTCTTTTATCATGTTTTAATCTATTACACAGGATTCCACAGACTTTCCAGCAAAATTACCAAACAAATTTCCTGCAAAAAGTCAGTAGATTCTATCTGGGATTTGTACCAAGTTAATATATAATGTAACAGCCACATGATATTCACCTCGTGCAACAGTCCGTCTCCAGATACAATGATTATTCCGTCCCATTCTTGTAGTGAGATCTCTCTGATTAGCTCACGTGCATGATTCTGACGCTCTGCACAACAACAAAAATACATGCATCACATCAGTTCAATGCAATAATTCAGATTCTGACAACTGTTGGTGTGAGCGCTTTTATTCTGAACCATTTGTAGTCAACAGCATGTGTGTGTGTTGTTCTTACCTGTCTGTATGAGGTTGTAGCTGATGTTGGCTTCTCTTATCATTGGAAGTATGTGCGTTTGACACCATTGCATTGCCTGACCCCGGCCACTGAATGGGTTCACCAGCAGTAACAGTCGACGGGGACGGGGCAACATGCTTTTGCAAAATTCTGCACAAGCAAAAACAAGCAAGAGAGGATAAGACCTTTATTCTAAGGCTTAATACTAACACTAAGCCAGTCCTAAACCATCTGAAAGTAGACATCATGATGTTTTAGTGGATGTGAAAAATAAGTAAACCTCAAGAACACATATCTGACCTTCATTTCAAAAATACTGATAAAAAGAGAATTTAAACCATCCAATTGTTAATGGATCATTTCAATTCTATTTTTTTTTACAGTATTTTTGACATTTTTCCAAAAACAGAATCACTTAGTTTCTTACATTAACAGTTCAACTGTGTGGTATCTGAGAACATTTCATTATCTTCTGGGATTTGAGAATTTGGGATATGTCTCACCTATCCAGAGCACAGTGCATGTATAGTCCTGATCTTAACCTAGATGTTATCTGTTTGTTTGTTTTGTAAGATTGAAGGCTTCTTCTTTGACAACTCCCCATCATGTGGGGCAAAGTGATGCCGTTTTCTTTTTTCAGATGACTGATTCATGTATTTTTAAATTAAACTGAGGCAAGACATTCCTGTCAATTCCTTGATGTTAAATTTTCCCATAAATGTAAAATTAGTTTCTCTTGATGAAACAGCTGATTGTGAAATGTTATGTTTCAGTTTTGTGTTAATTATAGTTTAACCAATCAGTATAACTGAAATTATGATTAAATGTCCTTATATTCAAAACAAAATGAACAAAATACCCAGTTTTAAAGGGATAGTTCACAAAAAAAATATTTTGTCATGATTTACTCCCCCTTAAGATTTTCCAAACCTGTATGAATTTCTTTCTTCTGCTGAACACAAAAGAATCTATTTTGAAGATTGTCGGTAACCAGACAGACGGTAGCCATTAACTTCCATAGTAGGAAAAAAATACTATGGAAGTCAATGGCTACCGTCCACTGTCTGGTTACCGACAATCTTCAAAATATCTTCTTTTGTGTTCAGCAGAAGAAAGAAATTCATACAGGTTTGGAAAAACTTAAGGGGGAGTAAATGACAATTTAAAATTTTGGGTCAACTATTCCTTTAATGGAGTGCACTTACATTTTCACACCACTAGACCTGCTAATCTGAATTTCTAACACAAATTACAAGCCAATTTTTTTTTAATCATATAAACGGTATTTTAATGATTTATTGAACTGCAACAACTAGCACTGACAACTAACTACAGCACAGCAGTTAACAACAGGGACAGAGCGACAACACGCAGCATCTGTTTAAGTCAATAAAGCCGGGTGCATTGCTACCGAATGATCTGCACTACTGCACTAAGGCTGTATTTTCCCTGCCACAGACCCACCCATTCTCTGACCGTCAATGACAGCATGTGGTACACATTATGATTGAAAAAACAAAGGAAAAAGGGAAGGAACAGTTAAACTCTTACACAAATAAATGCACAGACATGATTCATTCTCACATAAATTTAGCTCAATATACAAGAAATCAAAGTGTCATCCTATTTACAAGACATACTAATTAACAACATTAATGCAACAGCAATGACTCAGACGTCATGAAGAATTAGCAGCATCCGGCATCCATTACTTTACTATTATTTATATCTTCAGTTTTCAATTGAATTTTAAGTTTAAGTTGTAGTAATTTTGTTCTTAAAATATTTCTATTTATCTTCAATTTACTTTTTAGTTATAGTACTTCAACTTAAATTTATTTCAGCTAGATGGCAAGGGAAAACGAATTGTAATGTATATTTTTTTAGCTGCATCTGAATGCATTTTTCCATCAGATAGGCTTCAGCGAATGCTTTCCCACAAACATAAGCACAATCACACGTAACTACTGACAAAGCATCTGTGAATGATCAAACCCTGACACCCACCTGTAGTGGAGCTGACATCCATCCCCCTTAGCAGGCTCTGTATAGCAGCGTTCCATTTTTCCGCCTCAGCTCTGCTCTCTGCCAAGTACGCCCTCACCTGTCTATGTCTGGAGACGCCCTTCCGACGTTTACCCGGAGGGTACCAGTAAAGCACCAGCAAAGGAGGGGCCGGCAATCGTGGGCAGCTGCATCCGGTCAGCTCTGCCAGTGGCAGGAGCAGCCTGGACTGCTTCCCCGCACGTGGAGACAACCGCTGGACGTGGACGTGAGTTGGTGTGAGGGTCAGGGCATAGTTGGTGGAGGCGGGGCTGGAAGGTAAAGATATGCCTCCAGGACTGTTGGGGCTGCTGTTGCTGTTACTTCCACTTCCCCCTCCGCTACTCCAACCGCTGAACTGTCCATGCAACAGGGCCTCCTCGGTCATGGACGGGCTTTCGGGGCCTGGGGAGCGCATGTTCAATGTCTGGCCTCAAAAGTATCTTTGGACTATACAGCTTGAGTGCCTCATGCAGAGGTCTTTCTTCTGTGTTGTAGTGAGATGACTTTCTGGACGGATGAACTAGACTTTTTTTTGAGATATTTTCAAATGTCTCAGCTTTTTTAAGCCCAATCCATGGGCTTTTGGCATAAACTTAATGTTACACAAGTTATGAATGATGAAAGTGCTTCAACAGGTGTCTATTCAAAACAAAAAGAAACTTCAGCAGGCTTTTCTATCCCTGATAGTGTTAAATCTTTCCCATCAGTGCATTTTGTGCATAAATCCTCTAACTATCATCTGATCAAAACACAATACACAAAAGAGATTTCCAGTTTAGTATCTCAACAAAAAACAAAGACGCACAAATAAGCCAGATTATTTGCTTTCTCAAATGTGTCTGACTTCGCTGGCAAAATATGAGAAAATGCATAAGTCTTTTGTCAAGATTAAACGGATTTGTGTGTGCGTCTACTTAAATAATCATTAAACAACATTTCTTAAGTTACTAACAAGACACTTTCTTACAAGTTGTTTAAATAAAATTGGAAGCACAATTTCAATTAACAATGCATTGTTTTAAGGTCAGAGAACTTACAGATGACTAAAAATAAGCACACACTAAGGTTATAATAACCCTATAAATGCTACGAAAATGTTCAGTGACAAACAAGGACAGAGAGCAGAGGTAATGGCCGGGCCGAGGATAGTGTTTGAGAAGAACCAAATGAAACCTTATCTAGGTGGACAACTAAAAATACAGTTCCTATCCAAAAACAACAAGGTTGAGGAAGCGATACAGATGAACTACTGGTTTTGGTCTCAACAGCATCAGAGATTGTAGTAGTGCTGGGATTTCATGTATTCTAGCTCACCCAATAAAAAAATGCCAGAAAATCCAGGATTTGATATCCATGAAAGCTGAATTCAATCCTTGCAGGATAGTCCTCAAAAAGGGAAATAAATAAAACCCAGAATACAGAAAGAGGTGGAGTGCTGGAACAGGGTCTCAAGTCATAGTTATCCTCTTTATCCACTGTTATAGGTGCCCTGCTACATAGAGAAGGTTTGGAGAAAGAAAAAAGAAAGAAAGAGAGAGAGATTACCTTTCGAAGATTATTCTACATCTTACAAAGCAATATAGCTCAGGTAATATATTATTCTGAATAGAAGTTTAGGACCTTCTGTTATAGGCTACAAGATACTACCAAAAAGTTCAAATGTTTGGACTTGGTCAGATATAATATTTTTGATTATATCATTACAATTTTACAATAACCGTTTTCTATTCTAATATATTTTAAAATGTATTGTTCCTGTGAAGGCAAAGCTGAATTTTCAGCAGCCATTACTCCACATGATCCACCAGAAATCATTCTAATATGTTGAGCTGGTGCTCAAGAAACCTCTTATTATGATCACAGTTGAAAACATTTGAGCTACTTAATATTTTTGTGGAAATCACAATACATTTCCCCCCAGAATTCTTCAATGAATAGAAAGTTAAAAAGAATAGCATTTAGTTTAAATGGAAATATTTTGTAACAGTGTAAAAGTTACTGTCACTTTTATCAGTTTAATATGTCCTTGCTGAGTAAAAGTATTAATTTCTTTAAAAAAAAAAAAAAAACACACACACACTTTTACTGACCCCAAACTTTGGTGTATCTCATGTATTAGAACTCAAGATCATCTTTGCCCTTTTAATGGAATGTGTTGTTAAATTGACCCTTGACCTGCACCTAATCTTACCAGACTTAAGTAATCAGATAACTCATACTGCAATATCTTCAAAGGTCTGACATCAGCAAAAAGGAACATGCTGAACAATACAATTATGTTTCTCAACAGAAAGAGTGTGGCAACCGTTAGTATGGATAAATGTGAACAGATGGATTTACAGTCTAAATACAAAGTTTATAATTCAAAATGTCCAGGTGCCTGTGGTTTGCCACTGTTAGGTAACACAAATATGCAGAGCTGTGTCATTTTGACCCAAACAGAGAGAGAGAAAAAACAGTCTGGGGTGGAATTACACACCTGTCCGGCATCAATCTTGGATGACACCACATGTAAATTCCGCGATTGTGCCTGAAACGCAACACCAGGAAGGTGGATGAGTTGAAATCTAATCGCAATTTCAACTCAATGGAGAACAGGAATGTCTGAAATGCGAACTGACAACATATTCAACAGATTAAGATCTCATAGTACAAGTTTATGGCGGACAGGAAACGGCTGCAGTTGAGCGGCCCAATATATAGACAAATAGTCTATAAACATCTTGGACGAGACGGACGGCTGTGTAGGATGTTTTAGCTGTAGTTCAACATCTGCAGACTTTGTTTTGGAAGTCAGCAATTAATGCTCAATGCAGAAATATGTGACTCTTATCACAGCAATCACACACTTTAATTTTCTTCCGGTCCTGCTTGTTAAGACTCATGTGAAATCAATGCCTGGCAGATTTCCATAACTGTTAAAAAAAAAAAAAAAAAGAACAACCACCCTGTGATGTCCACTTTGCCCCCTTGTGTCCTTGCAAAGTTGACACTGTCAAGAAAGCAATATAAGAAGACCAAAAGTGCATTCCTCTCTAAAGCTTCACCTTTCTAGAGCCAAAAGAGTACTGTTGACTGTCTGGGCTTCACACACGTGATTGCACACTTTGTCCCTTTTATCAGCAAGACTTTTTACTGCATCAATGGCATGATAATATTATTCATTCAGATCCACTAAAGCAATTTCGAATCCTTTGACTTATAATTAATCAGCTCTGACCTCACAGATCGTAAAATAATAATAATTTTTTTTTTTAAAGCTGATGACCTTTACACAGTGTAGGTCATTCTTTAGGCAATCAGTTGTGAAATCTATAAATTCACAGGCCTACAAAAAAAAAAAAAACCTTAGCAATCCAACTAAGCAAAGGTAAAAAAAAATACAAAGCTCTGTTTGTCACATTACAAATATAATAGCAACCTGAAAACAAAGTGTCTCTTGAATGAGAGTGAGACAGGTGGCCAGTCAGCTGTCACAGTCACACTCATTTAAAACTGTTGCAAGGGGGATTTTAACATCCGAGTGAACTTGTATTAAATTATGGATTTACATACAAAAGGCTGCTCATATGAGATTTGGGAATTATGATGCATGATCATAAGTGGATGAAAAATCAAGCTTATATGCTATCTTAAAGGACTATCAAATGAATTACAAGCAAAACGTGAGTTCAAAAGATCAAAGAAACTAATGGCAAGGAAATGAATAAGTACAACTGCAGTTTCTTAGCAACTCAGAGCCAAACTCGCATATCAACACAGTTAACGTTAGCTGATGACAGGCCAACACAGGGAACTAGTATATCATGATATGGGTATGAGTGGACTTGTTTGTGCTTAACGGAAGCAGTTATAACCTTAAAGGTGGTAAAGATAAAACACTGTTTTGTCGATGAGAATAATGTACTCAGAAAACATGTTGTTATTGTCATTTTAAATAGCCAAGCCGACGCGGACCTCAGAGACATCAACCTGAAAAACGGATCTGTTTCTGTTTAAATTCTTCATTAAATGAGGCGTCCTAGAAACTTTTATGTGTCTTACGGGGTACAATGACTTTAATAATAGTAATAAACGACAAAGCGAAAGTAATACCGGACTTACCTGTTTTTTTCTGTTCCCCCTACATGGCGAGTTTTCCAGCTTTCCAGAGCTGTAGGGGAGGCACGAGCGTTTTCAGGAAGTCTATCGACGCGGTGGGCGGAGAAAAGCGGGTGATTGACGTGATCAACGTACAATCATGAAATACAATCCGTCTGGCCAGCCCATATCTAGGCGATAAAACACTCTTTTGCTCAATACTCCCCAGTACTATATTCAGTGCTGAAAAGCGTTTTTGCTACATACATTGTTTCTATTTTGATTGTTGATGAGAGAGATATTTTGCATTAATTGTATTGTAAATATACAGATACTTACAGATAAAATATATCCGACCGTTATATTCACATATACAGTCACGTTGTGCACATTTAAAGTTAAATCATAGATATAAAGAAGAAAATGCAAAATAAAGAAGAATGATAAAAATATATATAATACATATATACATACATTTTAGATCACATTTGTTAACAGATGATAACAGAATTAATTTTATAGTTTATTTTTTTTATAAGGAAACTAAATTAAATTTGTAATAAAATCATCATAATTGAATAGTCATTTATATAGTTACAAAAATAATATAATTCATATTAATAATATAAAATAATTAGGGCTGTCAAATGATTAATCACGATTAATCGCATCCAAAATAAAAGTTTGTGTTTACATAATATATGTGGGTGCACTGTGTATAATTATTTTATATATATAAATACACACACATGCTTGTATATATTTAAGAAATATTTTCATGTATATACTGTATATAGATTTATATATAATTTTAATTATATATAAATATAAATATTTTATATATAAATCATATTTTTTTCTTAAATATACATGCATGTGTGTGTATTTATATATATACAAAATAATTATACACAGTGCACCCACATATATTATGTAAACACAAACTTTTATTTTGGATGCGATTAATTGCGATTAATCATTTGACAGCCCTAAAAATAATATAATAATAAGATTTTAAATAAATTGGCAAAACCAAAATAAGCGAGGGATTGGTTCAAGGTTTCACAAAGAGAACATTATGTAAGTATCTGCATGGGTAAAATTAATTAATTAATATTAAAGAGATCTATTTTAACTCATCTTCCAAATTATGTTATTAAATAGATCCAATGAGAAATGGTGGAGGGGGTAGAAATAACATATTCTAATTTTATAATTTCAATTATTTCTAACAAATAAGTGGTGAATAAAATTATAATGTATTAGTAGTAGTAGTGTAGTTATAAAACAAATCCCATAGGACTAGGGCACATAACTATATACATTTTTATCAATGCTATTTTGAATGTTGACATAAAATCTGAGTAATCAAATAAAATTCCATCATTATTACTCCATCATCTGACTTACAGTAATAGATTCCTTTAACAGTTATAAAAAATAAATAGATTTTTCCAGTTATTTAATTTTCCTATTCAAACTGGTCCAATTGTTACAAATTAAAATATATATATTATTGGAAATAAAAATTGTGTTAAGAACATGCATAGACTGTAAGGTTAAGGGTTAAGACCCCAGGATAAATCAATTTTTGCGAAGATAACGGCCTTTTTCCGTAAATATAACCTTTGACCCAATATTTCATCCAATTGGATCAGCGGTCCAGCGGAAATGGTCACAACTTGAGAAATGATTGACAGACATTTTTAACGAATCATGAGAACGCAAAAAGAAGAGAGGCGGGAACTTTAGCAGTGACCAGTGGGCGGAGTCTGCCGTCCATCTTTAATGTACTGGACAGAAGGGACTGTCGAGCTGAAAACATTACCAAATTTGAAATAAGTAATTGGCGGATATTTTGGTCGTGGCTGTCACATAGAGATACTGACGCATTTGAAAAAGGTATACGACGAATGTGCATTCAATTTAAGAGTTGAAATCCCCCACAATTTCTGTTGGAAAAACTATATGTGTGTGCTAGCAGAGCGTTAGCCGTCAGCGCTGCTCGACATCACAACAACAGCAGCTTAATCCATGTTAACTGCATAAATAAGCAGTATACGGTCTATATATACTGACAGGGTGACATTTTATCAGTGCAGATGAGATATGGCGATGAAATGCTGCTGATCTAACACGTTAGCATCAGCTTGGCTAGTGCTCAGTGATCAGAGGCTGCGTAAACACTGGTTATGTTGGCGTAACGGTATACGTGATCTAAACCATGGGAAGGATCCATTAAAATTCTTGATAATTTCTCTTATTCTGGAGGATTGGAAAGTTACGCAAATAAAATTGCGTGTATTTCTTGACCCGGAAAGCACTCGAGTAAAGCATAACTTTGAAGTTATTATTCGTTTTCGGGATTCAGACAAATAGTGTAACGTCAATCGAGCAGGATGTTTTGATATCATTTTCTATTGAGATGCGATTTATCTGTCAGGAGCTGTAGAAACGCTTTCCATCTGCTTCACACTGAATGCTGTGCAAGTTAACAGTCTCTCTAATGTGCTTGCAGTGACAGAAGGCATGAAGACAGTATCATAGCGAAGCCATGGCTGATAAGAGAAAACTTCAAGGTAAGACATTATGATATGGAAAAATATAATGTAATTTTCTCTCTACTCTACCCTGCCACAACTGCTTGTACACAGCAGATTCTGTTCAGAGATTTTACTAAATCATCATATCTCATGATTTATGCATAACCATATGCTTTACACAACCAGGTGAAATAGATCGATGTTTGAAAAAAGTTGCTGAAGGTGTCGAACAGTTTGAAGACATTTGGAAAAAGGTGAGATGTTAACATCTCAACACCTAATGCTTAATCCAAATAAATGAATAAGCAAAAGGAATCGCTCACCTGTTGTCATATTTGACACTTTTATTAATTAATTTAATTTTATACTCAGCTTCACAATGCAGCCAATGCCAACCAGAAGGAAAAATATGAGGCTGATCTCAAAAAAGAGATTAAAAAGCTTCAGGTAAGAATGTGCTCATCTGACATTTAGTTTATTTTAAGGCTTTCTGGAATGGTGTGAAAATGCACAAGCGGAATAATAGAGATGCATTCCTTGCTGTCGGACTAGATATTAGCACTCTAGGAACACTGCTTGGCCAAACAATTTAGAGAAGCGGAAGAAACCGTTGAATAAAATTAATTATTGTACACTTGCTTTAGAACCAAGGGAAAAAGTGTGTTCTCAATCAGTATAATTGTTCTCACCTGTTTTTCTTTTTAGCGACTAAGAGATCAGATTAAGACATGGGTGGCATCCAATGAGATCAAAGACAAACGGCAGCTAGTGGAGAACCGCAAGCTTATTGAAACGGTAAAAGCACATTGTCGGATTCCTCGTGGCTCTTTTATTTGAACACTCTTGTCACAGTTTCCAAAATTTCTTTTATACTTTTGATAAAAATATGAATGCATTGTTAAGACGTTTAAATTCATTTTTAGAAAATATTTTTCCCAAGTCTGATCCGGCAAGCTTGAAGCCCTTAACCTGACTCTGTCTCTTTCTCCTCAGCAAATGGAGCGCTTTAAGGTGGTTGAAAGAGAAACCAAGACAAAGGCCTACTCTAAAGAGGGGCTGGGCTTGGCTCAGAAAGTAGACCCAGCACAGAAAGAGAAGGAGGAAACGGAACAGTGGCTCACGGTACCAGAGGGCTCACAAATAAAAGCGGGGGGTTGAAAAACTTTTAACAGGATGTAAGCAGTGCAGTAATAACATGATTTCTCTCTCTCGCAGAACACAATAGACACTTTGAACATGCAGGTGGACCAGTTTGAGAGTGAAGTTGAGTCCCTCTCTGTTCAAACACGAAAGAAGAAAGGAGACAAAGAGGTCAACAACATTTCATTTTTTTATTTCCCCTCCTTTCTATTGACCACTTTCCTAATTTAGTATAGCTTGATTAATTTTTTAGCCTTCCTTTTTATGCTTTCACTATTTTGCAAACACTCAACATGTTCTCGTATTGTTCTTTTCTGTTGTTTGTGTTTGCCTTCAGAAACAGGATCGAATTGAGGAGCTAAAGAGGTTAATCGAAAGACACAGGTACCACATTCGTATGTTAGAGACCATCTTGAGGATGCTGGATAATGATTCAATCCAGGTTGAAGCTATACATAAGATTAAAGATGATGTGGAATACTACATTGACTCTTCACAAGACCCAGATTTTGAAGAGAATGAGTTCCTCTATGATGATCTGGACTTGGAAGATATACGTAAGTCTGTGTGTTTTTAGTAAAGGGTGTGTGGACAATTTGCGTTATTTTAAATGAAATGGCTAGTTGTTGACCTACTGAACAACTGTCAAGATAGTCACATTTACAAACATCTCTTTCTCTCTAGCGGCAGCCTTGATGGCCACATCTCCTCAGGGCCAGATGGAAGATGAAATGTTCCTTCAGTCCAGCAGCACACCGACCTCCACCACTTCCTCTTCCCCCATCCCTCCATCTCCTGCTACGGGCCCAATGGTAAACTGCTTTCTTTTATTCTGCCTCATGTCTCTGTCTAGTCTGCAAAGTATCTCCATCATAATCACTCCATTAATCATGCTCTCTTAGCCACAGAATTTATCGTCTTACTATATTTTGTATGTGAATGTTTTGCTCAGGAGATTTCAGAGGATAAGAGAGGTCGATCAACAGACAGTGAAGTCAGTCAGGTAAGACTGTAGTATCTGTTAAAGGTTTACACTCACATGTTGTTTTAAACCTGTATGACTTTATTACAGTGGATGGGGACTGAAACTTTCACTATTAAAGTAATTGTATGGGCACTTAATATAATATGTATATAACACATGTTGTATAGACTACTTTTATGGTTATTTTCTTCCTTTTTGAAGCTTAAAATGTCCTTTACATTTGCATAGAACAGAGTGACCAGAATGTTTTCAGAATGTTCTTGTTTTGTGTTTCAGAATCATACAGATTTGGAACAACATGAGGAAATGACAGAAATGTCATTTTGGGTGAACTATCCCTTTAAATTGCACGCATGCTTAATAAAAAAAAGATATTTGTGTTTCTAACCTCATGGCTTTCTTGCTTCGCTCAGTCTCCTGTGAAGAACGGAAACCCATCTCTCTCGTCCTTTTCTTCATCTGCCTCCTCTGGCTCCTCCTCCTCCTCT